GGTTCTCTTCCAGTGCTGTGGCCCCTACACTTCACTGCACGAGGCCCCAGCCTCTTCTTTTTTTGGGAGGGTGAGGCAGCTGCCCTGTGAAGGGCCCGCGTGGCTGCCTCAGCCTCCTTTTGGTCACTGTCACTTTAGGCAGTGAGTGAAGTGAGCTGGCTTCTCTTTCTCTGGCTTTCCCCTTTGTCGTGGTGCACTTGGAGCGCTTGTCCTGCCTGGTTAGGATGGCGTGGCTGGCATTTAGAGAGGCGTGTCTGAGGTCTTCCGCTTTTCTGAGAACTTCTTGGGAAACAGCCTCGCTTCCCTTCAGGAAGTCCTCCAGGGCCTTCTTAGAACTTTTCTCCAGCTGGACCCCTTGGGGCCAGATGTCCAGATCAGCTTTGTGGGCCATAGAGTGGACTGAGGGAGGGGCATGGTGGGAAGACGGGGTACAGCCATTGCCCAGTTGGGCCCCAGAGGTCCAGGCCCTCCCCAGGATCAGTCTTGGCTTGGGGCCCAGGCTTGATGGGGTCCCCCCTTTCACCAGCCTCCTGGTCATGAACCCCCTTCTAGGTGAGCGGGTGAGCAATCTGGAGGAGCTGCCTCTCAATGAGTATCGAGAGTACATCAAAGTGCAGACGGACAAAGGCACAGAGGTGGCCACCAACCTGGTGATTCTCTGCACCGGCATCAAGATCAACAACTCCGCCTACCGCAACGCGTTTGGTGAGCAGGTGCCCGGCCGGGCTTCCCCCGTGCCTCCTTGCTCTTCAGCACTCTCTGAATGCCCTGCAGTGCTTGCCCCCAGGAGTCCACACCTTGCTGCCTTTCCCCTTTCTTCCCAACAGCTCAGACTTTAAATTCAGTGAGGGTCCACCCTTGCTGAGCTCTCCTCAGCTGTGACGATGGCTGGGTTCCAGGTGGCCAAGGTGACCAGAATCTTCTGAAATTAGGGCCGCCCCCTAGTGGTAAGAGATGGGCACAGGCGTCAAAGAGATGAGAAAGGTTGGTGTTTTCTTTCTTTCTTCCTTACCTGGTGACAGAAGAAATTCAGGGTCAGGCCTTCCTCTCTCCTGAGGCGTGCTGCTGCCCCCAAACCCAGATCCAAACATTTGGACTCTTGAGCTTGGATTGACTGGGGAGTGGGGTTGGTAACATGGCCTGGTTTCTTAAAGCTCGGTATTTGGGTATTTAGCTGGCTGGAGGTGGCAGAGGTGGACTGATGTGTGTTCAAGCCTTCATTTGTGAGCAGGAAACTCAGTGGCCAGGCCTGCTGGTTGCTTTGTGTCCTCAAGTCCCTGTCATTTACTCCCGAATGCCCTTTCCTGACAAGGAGCTCCTGCCTTTTGTCCAGCAGGAAGTAATGATCCAGTCCCAGGAAAAGGAAGCCAGTCCAGGCTGTGTGTAGCGGTGGGATTGAGGGCTTATAATGGACAGAGATCCCAGAGTTTAATACCTAATTGTCTTAATGTTGTATTTTCAAATACAAGTTTTTAAAAGTCCCTTTAAAAAAGCAGTTTGTCATATATTAAAGCTCTGCATTTATTTTTAATGCTCCAGTTTTGTTTTTTATTTTTATTTTTTTGAGACAGACTCTTGCTCTGTCATCCAGGCTGGAGTGCAGTGGCGTGATCTTGGCTCACTGCAACCCCCACCTCCTGGGTAACCCCCACCTCCTGGGTTCTAGCGACTCTCGTGCCTCAGCCTCCCCAGTATCTGGGATTACAGCTGTATGCCACTAAGCCCGGCTACTTTTTCTATTTTTGGTAGAGATGGGTTTCACCATGTTGGCCAGACTGGTCTTGAGCTCCTGGCCTCAAGTGATCTGCTCGCCCCAGCCTCCCAAAGAGTTGGGATTACAGGCGTGAGCCACCACGCCTGGCCTGCATTTATTTTTAAAATCTCACGTTCAAAAGTAAATTCAAGACTCAGCTAATCACTGTAACTTGTAGAGAGTTATGTATGTTTCTAAAAGGAGGCCTGTTGGTATTTTGACCCATTTCCACCCTGGCATCAGCAACCTTGCCTCTGCAGGAAGAGTTGTGAGGTGGAGACTTCAGGGGGGAGTAAGTTAGGTGGGAGGGTGGCCTCTAGAGCAGGCACCTCTAGGGGCTGGTCATGCCTCAGGAGGGTGGTCTGACCAGCGTCTAGAGCTCGCCCTCACCTCCTTGTGGTGGCCACTTAACACAGCAGCTCAGTGTCTTGGTTTCGGTGTCATTTCTTCTGGCAGAGAGCAGACTGGCCAGCAGTGGTGCTCTGAGAGTGAATGAGCACCTCCAGGTGGAGGGCCACAGCAATGTCTACGCCATTGGTGACTGTGCCGACGTGAGGACGCCCAAGATGGCCTATCTTGCTGGCCTCCACGCCAACATCGCTGTGGCCAACATCGTCAACTCCGTGAAGCAGCGGCCTCTCCAGGCCTACAAGCCAGGTAAGAGAGGCCCCGTGCGCTTTGCAGTTTTAAGAGAGTTTGGGGTTAAACGTGGGGAAGCTTTTTTCGGCTATCAGATACCTGGCCACTAGAACAAACTCTCCAAGCTGGTGATGGAAACATCCCCCTAGAGCTCTTTAAAAATAGGCTGGGCGCAGCGGGTTTACACCTGTAAACCCAGCACTTTGGGAGGCTGAGGCGGACAGATCACCTGAGGTCAGTCACCTATCTCTACTAAAAATACAAAATTAGCCAGGCGTGGTGGTGCGCGCCTGTAATCCCAGCTACTCGGGAGGCTGAGGCAGGAGAATCGCTAGAACAAGGGAGGGGGAGGTTGCGGTGAGCAAAGATTGCACCATTGCACTCCAGCCTGAGCAACAAGAGCGAAACCCTGTCCAAAAAAAAAAAAAAATCAGGGCCTCACTCACCTTCCTAAAGGGATTTCACATTTTCCGGCCCTGAGTCCGAAGGCCTTGGGAAGGATCAGCACTCTGGGTGTTGCAGCCCCAGGAGGTTCAGTGAGGTTCTGGTTGTTTCTGTGTCTCTGCTCGCAGGTGCACTGACGTTCCTCCTGTCCATGGGGAGAAATGACGGCGTGGGCCAAATCAGTGGCTTTTATGTGGGCCGGCTCATGGTTCGGCTGACCAAGAGCCGAGACCTGTTTGTCTCTACAAGCTGGAAAACCATGAGGCAGTCTCCACCCTGATGGAAAGGCCGGGCGGGAGATGAGCTACTGCAGCAGGTGGGCGTACGGACTGCTTGGCGCATGGCACCCACCTGGCAAGTGCTAGAACGAATGCTGTTCTTCTGGAATAAGATGCCAATGATGTGGTGGCCAGAAATGCAACTTGTATAAAACAAAAATGGGAGAGAGAGAGGCATTAAACAAATACCCCCTTAGAGGATTCTTTTTGGGTTTCGAAGGTGTGCTTGCCGCGGTGCTGGCTGAGCGGCTCATGCGTGCTGGCTGCGTGGTGCTGGGGAGGCCACGGCCAGCCCTCCCTCTGCACCTGGCTCCTCTGGGATGTGCATTGCCTGTGCATGTGTTTGTGGTCATGACCTGTGTCATTTAGAGCTCTCAGAGGAGGGCAGAGAGCTGGGCTCTGGTGGCTAGAGTCTGTCTGTGAGTGCAGGAAGGAGAGCTGCACATTGAGAACAAAGAAGGGACCTGAGGAGGAGAGACGCCCTGCACCCCAAATTTCTGCCATCTCATGATTGGGGAGCCCATACATTCTGCAACAACCAGGGACTTCACAGGAGCCCTGTTTTCAATCCTCTAACTGGTGCATAATCCCTGTACTCCTTAAGCCTCATGGCCTTCCAACATTTCCACTTTATGTATTTTTGAGACAGAGTCTCGCCCTGTCATCCAGGCTGGAGTGCAGTGGCACGATCTCGGCTCGCTGCAACCTACATCTCCCGGGTTCACGTGATTCTCTTGCCTTAGCCTCCCGAGTAGCTGGGACTACAGGCGTGTGCCAACATGCCCGGCTAATTTTTTTTTTTTTTTAAGTAGAGACGGGGTTTCACCTTGTTGGCCAGGCTGGTCTCGAACACCTGACCTCAGATGATCCATTCATCTTGACCTCCCGAAGTGCTGGGATTCCAGGCATGAGCCACTGCGGCCAGCACATTTCCACTTTTAGATCCTAACTCCATACCGTAGGCTACATTTAAGAAGAGCTAGATAAAATTTCCCTTCTGGTTACCCCGCCCTGACAGAGTGCATTTTTACATGGCTAGCAGGGGTTGAGACTGTAGCCTGGCCTGCCAGCCACTGGAGGTATTTAAGGAAGGGCAGATAATGTGACTCTCTGCGGGGTGCCATCTGCTTACCCATTAGCGAGCAGAGGGGGTTTCTGCGGGTGACCCCCAGCATATTTCTAGGTCACTCACGGGCAGATTTGTAAGTGACAAAACTCCAGCTGATGCTGGGGATGGGGAGACGGCCCCCCAAGGGACTTTGTGGTTTTGTGCTTCTGGTTTCCTGGCCAACCCCAGGGTCACTTGTCCTGAGGCCCAGCTGGGCACTAATGTCTGCCACCGACTATGTTATGGTGTATAAATGACTCCTCTATTTGAGAGAGATCTTCCAATCCGGAGGAGCCCCTCTTGGACCGCCTGGGTTCAAGCTGCATAGCAGAAGTGGTTGATGAGTTCATCTGAAGAAATTCAGGACCCACCTCCCCACCCTGCCCCTCCGTGCACCCTTTTGATGGTGGCCCCTGGGTACTTGGGCAGAGTCCTTGGGACACCAGCCTCTCTGGGGTTCTCAGGCCATCCCGTTGGGGCTGTTGCCCAGGCCTCAGTGAGTCGTGTGCCTCTCTTGGAGGATGGCTGTTCCCCTGGTGGCTTCATCCAAGGATCTGTCTTCATGGACCACGAAGGGAAGCCCACCTTTCTGGAGGCAGGACCTTCGGCCCGAGAAACACAGGCCCTGGTGCTATCTGACCTGGGGCCCAGTGAGGTGGGAATCCCAGTGTGTGAGTGACAGGCCTTGTTCTGTTGACTTGCAATATTCTAGAAGGACCTACGTGTGGGGACACCGTTTTCCAAACTGAGGAAAATGTTGCAATAAAAGAATATGTTGTAAGAAAGACACTGGATCTTTTATTTTTTTTCCTTTCATTTTCTTTTTCTTTAAAAAACAAAATGAAACCAAAAAAAAAAAGCCTGAAGCAAAACCTTTTTAGGAGTAGTTACAGGTATTACAGGGGTGGGGGCGGGGGGCACTAAAATAAAAGAGAAAAGCACCAGTGAGATGTCTCCCATTTTCTCCTCTCCGCCACGGAACACGCACACCAACAGGGCCCAGGTCGCTTTTTGCCCTCTTCCCTTAGAAAAAGGAGGAACAGAAGATTTAAGAATTTTGAAAGGATTTTTTCTTGTATGAGTGTGTGTAAAAGTCGATGCTATAAATCTAAAACGAGGTCTGTTTTTTTAGAAAAGTTCTAAAACAACAGGAGGAAAACACATGGAAAGAAACCCCGCGCGGAGACCTGCTTCCTTACAGATGGAGGCTCTTTTGGAGGACAGTGTGAAGGGCAGAGGGCTCCCTGCGCCGGCAGGACCTGCCCGGCCGCCCTCTACTCCCCCGCCGTCACCCCTCCTCTCTCCTTTTAAAAAGCAAAACCCACTCTTGGGACTCGGGTGGTCCTCTGATCCCTGCTGGAAAGTGCAGCGGCTACTTGGTGTCGAGCTTGGCCATCTCCTGCACGTAGATGCCGATGCTCTCGCTGTCGAAGAGCAGGAAATACACGTTCTTCAGCGAGGATGCGCTCGAGTCATCAAAGTGGGCTGAGATGGCTTTGAGGGTCACCTGGGCCGCGGTCTGTTTGGGAAAGCAGTTTCTGTGCCAAAGCAAAAGAAGAGCTGGTGTCATTTTGGTCCCTGAGAGCCATGGGAGCATGAAGTACCTTTGTTTTTACTGGGTGGGGCCTCGCTGTGCGCAGGGCTAGTCCGTGCATGATCTCCTTTGACCCTAGTCAAAGGGACAGCCTGGGGGTGGCAGGTGGGGCATGTTGCCCCCACTTTATAGGTGTCACACTGACTCGGAGAGGCACAATGATTTAATTTAATTAAATTAATTAGTTTTGAGATGGAGTCTCTGTGTCGCCCAGGCTGGAGTGCAGTGGCGAGATCTCGGCTCACTGCAACCTCCACCTCCTGGGTTCAAGTGATTCTCCTGCCTCAGCCTCCCGAGCAGCTGAGTAGTGCGCACTACCATGCCTGGATAATTTTTGTATTTTCAGCAGAGATGGGGTTTCACCATGTTGGCCAGGCTGGCCTTGAATTCCTGACCTTGAATTCCTGAGTTTGGGAATTCAGGAATGTAGGAGGCCTGCCTTGGCCTCCCAAAGTGCTGGGATTACAGGTGTGAGCCACGGTGCCCAGCCAAGCATAGTGATTTTAGCCAAGGTCATAGGGTTGCCCAAGTGAAGAGTGCCCTGTGTTTTATTTTTTATTATAATTTTTTAAAATTAGTTTTTGTTCCAGAGTCAAAGTCTTGCTCCATCACTCAGGCTAGAGTGCAGTGGTGTGATCATAGCTCACTGCAGCTTAGAACCTCTGAGCGCAAGCGATCTGCCTCCTGCCTCAGCCTCCTAGGCATGTGCCTATAAAAAAATTGTTTTTGTTTGTTTTTAATTTTTTGTAGAGATGGGTCTTGTTATGTTGCCCAGGCTGGTCTCGAACTCCTGGCCTCAAGTGATGCTCCTGCCTCAGCCTCCCAAAGCTTTTGGATTTACAGGCGTGAGCCACCATGCCGGCTCCCTGTATCTGAGTCTATGTCATCTGACCAAGTCAAGCTTGGCTTTAAAAATGCTAGCCATTCAGCATTAAAAATACCTGGTCTTCAAAAAAGCAAACAGAAGTTTTATTAGCTCCCTCCAAACTGGTTTGTATGCTAACCCGATTGCTTAGTAAAGGGCAAAAATATATGCTCCAAACCTGTCTTCATAAGTCCTTTTTTATGCACGTATTATTTCATAGGCACAGGTCCATGTAATTTCAGCATTGTGACTCTGGGCACGGCAGGGTTGATGAAAGTTTGTTAAAGGCCCAGGTTCCAGGGAGCTACTGATAGTGCCATCCACCAGACTGGGCCACAGCACCAGGTTCCAGGGGCACAGCCAGAGTGGTCATTAGGGGTCAGCGACACAGACCCCTGGAGCAGGTCCAGGAGGGGCCTGTTAATAGTGATTCTTCCCATTCGCATGTATTCCAGCACAGAACAGCACTGCATGGTCTCACCGATGAGAGAATGCATCTCACAGCATCTCTGGGCCTGGACTGCTGAGACTCGATGCTGCTTGCCTAGGTTGAGACATGATTACAGCAGGAACCTAGGTCTCATGATTTTCCTCTTGGGCTTCCCAGGACACAGCTATAAACCATAGCTATATTATAAAGGGCAGCTCTCAAGATGAGAGGGTGTTCAAAATTAAAGCAATAGATTGGCTAGGGGCATGAAGGGAGAGGATATGTTGTGTGTGAGAGCAGATATCCTCATTACGTATCTGAAACAATGCCCAGCTGGGATCTGTGACAATCTAGTCATTGCCCAACCTCCTTTTCAGCAATCACTCGGGGACGGATTTTCACTTCTCTGGGTGTATTCGTCAAAGCCTCGAACTCCTGGCTCTGCAGTCTCCCAGAGCAGCAACGGAATTCCCTGGGGATTCTGGAGACAGAGGTCGGAGATGGGCGGCCTGAGATTCTGCATTCTGACATCGGTCACTGCTGCCTGTCTATGGACCACACTTTGAGTAGCAAGGCCTTTGAGCCTCGTGTTTTCTCATCATGTGTCCTGGACATGGACAGCTGGTGGGAATATGGACTTTGAACCTGGAAGGCTCTCAAAAAATAACACACCAGCCGGCCTGTGCCTGCCGATCCCGCCCTGGGCTGCCTTCCTCCTGGGGTTTTAACATCAAGGAGGCAGTGGGGCTGGCCCCAGCCGGGAAAGACCTACTGCCTACGAGCCAGTGGGCCCACTTCCCTGTGGCTTCTGAAGGATGAAAACTGGGTTTCTTGCCCCGTCACCTGGTCAGCATACTTGGCTGTGCTGGCAGCCCTTGGTAACACCCAGATCAGATGTAAGTGGAGGAGCAGTTGATTTCCAGGGAAAAGGCCGGAAGAATCAACTCAGGGGAACTGCATCTTACCTGCCGCTGGGGAAAGGCGGGAACGCGACGGACTTTAGCTTCTTGTCCTCCGCCGCTGACAGGCAGTTTTTGATGGTCTCTTCAAGCTGTTCTTCACATTTGTCGGAGCCCCACTGAGGGATGTGACAGTGGATGACAAATTTGGCTGCGAGTCCACTGGATTGGCTGACGGCAGCTGGGACATAGGAGAGAAAATGCCGCGGGTTATTTCCTGAGGTTTCCTAGGTTATAGCCTAACCTCATCAGGTATCTGTTAGATCTGGAGATGAGGCAGTGATAGAGACGCTGGCCGGCCAGCATCCTGTGCTCCTGATGCAGACTGTTTAACAGAGAGCTGGGTTGGATGGCTTTGCACAGTTAGCACAAGCTTTGGGTAGAAGCATTTAATGCTTCTCTGACGCGTCATTTTCATATGGTCTGCCAAGTAGTCCCTGGGTTGGGCTACATCCTCACAATGTTCCTAGTTAAAGGGACACGTCAGATCCTCTCTGATGGCTGTGGTAGGTAAAGTAATGGCATCCCAAACATCCACATCCTACTCCCTGGAACCTGTGGGTGTTTCTGTACATGACAAAAGGGACTTTGCCAATGTGATTAAGTTAAGGCTCTTGAGATGGGGAGATGATCCTGGACTGTCTGGTGAGCCTGGGCCTGACAAGAGGGAGGTAAGAAGGTCAAAGGCAGGAGGAGGCCGTGTGATGAAGGAGCCAGAGAATGGAGCGAAGCAGCCAGGAGCCAGAGAATGGAGCGATGCCCCCGGAGCCAAGGAATGTTGCAGCTTAGAAGCTGGAAAAGGCAAGGAAGGGATCCTTCCCTGAGCCTCCAGAAGGAACCAGCCCTGCCAACACCTGGATCTTAGCCTCTTAAAACTCATTGTGGACTTCTAGCCTCTAGTACTGTAAGAAGATAAATTTGTGTTGTTTGAAGCCACAAACTTAGTGGTAATTTGTTACAGTAGCCACAGGAAATGAATACAGTGGCTTTTTTTTTTTTTAAATTTTTAGTTTTTTTGAGACAGTCTTTTTCTGTTGCCCAGGCTGGAGTGCAGTGGTGCAATCTCAGCTCACTGCAAGCTCCACCTCCTGGGTTCAAGTGATTCTAGTGCCTCAGCCTCTCAAGTAGCTGGGATTACAGGCATGTGCTAATTTTTAAAATTTTTTTGTAGAGATGAGGTTCTGCTATGTTGCCCAGACTAGTCTTGAACTCCAGTGCTCAAGTGATCCTCCTGCCTCAGGCACCCAAAGTGCTGAGATTACAGGTGTGAGCCACCACACCTGGCCTACTGTGGCTTTTAAAAAATAGCCATGCCTGGGCCCCACCCCCAGAGGTCCTAACTCAGTAGGTCTGGTGCAGGGCCTATGCTTACATGATTTTAGGACCTTCTATGAGTTGAGAACCACTGAACTTGATTGTACAGTTCCTTGGACAGGTATTGCCATTTGATGATCTCCACATGCCCTGCAGAGAGTGGGGTTTCAAAAGCGGGCTGTAAAATTGAATTAGGCCAGCCTTGTCTCATAATTTCAGTCATACTCCTTTGTTTTACTGTTTACTCCCCTAAACATGGCTCCCATTGGTGACAGAGTTGATACAGCCCCATGGCTGCTAAGCTCGAGAGAAGTCACCGTGGGACTCCCCAGGGGAGCAGTTCCCTCGGATCTGCCTGAGGCAGCTGCAGCTTCAGCCATGAGCCACGCAGGCCCCCAAGCTGCCCACGGGCGCCCTGTGCCCCTCCAGGAACCCAGGAATCGGCATAGCAAACGTCCGTGGCCACTAGGGGCAGCACTTGTAACAGAAACGTGTGTCCGCCGTATTCCAGAGCTGTGTGTGGGGTTGAGGTGAAAGACTGACTGGAAATCTATGATGCTCACCTAGTTTATGATAAGTATTTCCTGGCAATGTTCACAGTGTCAGGGAAGTGCTGACTGCACTTCCTCGCGTGGGTGGAAGCCAAATCCAAGGGACCCCCTCGCCCATCAGGGGAGGCTGTAGGCTCCTTGCCTTCCAGTGCCCAGAGGGGGCTCAGTGTCATCATATGTGAAAGCCTGAGTGCAGGACCCAGGCCACACAATACACCGAGGCTCTGGGTAGGGGCCCGCCACACGTGCTGACTCTATGACCATGTATATTTGTGCACCAGAAGCAGAGTGTCCCTTTTCAGCCTGAACAATGATGCCCCCAAAACTGGAGGCTGCTGTGCTGAGAACCAAGGACCCTGGGGATGGGCCTTGTCTGCATGGTGCGATTTTCCCGAGCACCTGGATGCTATTGTATGCCGGATGGAGTTTCGCTTGTTATAGTCATGGCTGATTTATTTCATATATTTAGAAAGTATAATCACGTTACTAGCAGAATGGTATTATTTCTCTAATGTAAAGTCTTTTTTTTGAGACAGGGTCTCCCCCTGTCGCCCAGGCTGGAGTGCAGTGGCTCAATCACGGCTCACTGTAACCTCTGCCTCTTGGGTTCAAGTGATTGGATTCTCCTGCCTCAGCTTCCCGAGTAGCTGGGATTACAGGCACCCGCCACCACGCTTGGCCAATTTTTTGTATTTTTAGTAGACATGGGGAGTTTCACCATGTTGGCCAGGTTGGTCTTGAACTCGTGACCTCAAGTGATCCACCCGCCTCGGCCTCCCAAAGTGCTAGGATTATATTGCACCCAGCCAAAAGTCGTATTTAAATAAAAGGAATATGTTCCTATTGGAATGTCAAACATCCAGTCAAGTAAAAAATGACTTTCAGGGTAGTGCACGATGACACTTCAGTCCAGAACAAAGTATGTTCATGGCAACTGGCGATGAATAACACGGCTTATAGCCGTAATGCTTTGTAATGTTCTCCAGAGGTGTCAAGGATGAGGGTCAAGTTATTGCAAGGGTTGTGACCCTGGTATTTGGTATAAGCACCTATCCACATAATGACTAGCGGCATTCTCTTACCTAATGTGATGTCGCCTGGTGAAGACCTGCATTCTGAGGGTGGCAGTGCTGCTGCTGGGAGCTTCTAGAACCTTCTCCCAGGTGAGCCATCACAGTTCTTGGAGTCACCACAGCAAAAGGGGACTCTAGGGTGGCCCCTTGTTCTGCTGAGAGGCTGCTACTGCTGATGCCTGGTTTCCATGACACTATGGGTTTTCTTTTAACAGTGCCTCAGTTTCCCACAATGGCCTCTCCTCTTCCTGCCTGTCTGGACCCAGTGCTCTTCTTTCTGCTGCAGCCCCAGCTCCTACGCAGCCATCTGCCAGCCATTTTCCTCCTTAGCTTTCAACAGGGACCTGCACCTCATGACCTTTCTGGGGCCCCAGGGCTAACACGTGCCCAGTAAAATGGCCATTCACTCCTGAAACCCGATTCCCCATTTTCCCTCTCTGTCACTGCAGACACCATCAGTTTCCTCTGCCTTGTCTCATTCCAGGCCCATGTGCTTCATTTTCACCCCCACTCCACCTCCACCCTCATCCAATACAGCTTTCTCGATGATCTTTGGGCCCCAGCCCTCCTTCTGCCAAACCATTCTTCATATGGTTGCTGGAGTCAAGGTCCTTAAACTCCACATTTAAACTCAGAATCTGCAACTGCTCCTGATTGCCAGGCTGACCTTACTGCAGTCCTCCCAGGCTCCCTTCATGGTCTGCCCCTCTCCCCTTGGAGTCTATCCATTTCTTGCTCTTTCTGGATGCCCAGTGGGCTCAGTCCCCTGCACACATGGGTCTGGCTACACCTGTGACTCCACACTTGGCTATCCTCCTTTGTCGCTGACTCCCTCGCCCATTCTCTCTGGGCCTCTGCCATGCAATTCAGCAGCCAGCTGTGCTGTGATATACTGTGCTACCCTGGGGTCCCTGCCTGGTTGTAAAGTTCAGGAGTGTTCAGGGCCTACATTCACATCCACATCCTGATGCCCGTGCCCGACAGCACACACTGTAGATGCTTAATGTGAACTGGTTCTGCCCCAGATGATGTCTTCACTGAAGCACTTTTGTATTCCTTGCTGCTGCCTGGCTCCTACCACAGTCACTGGCAGGCAGGTGCTCAAATATTCAACAAAAGAATGAAAGGCCCGACTTTTCATCAGCTTGTCAGCCTGGAAACCCTGGACCTACCCTTAGCTCCAGCTTCTGCCTCCCTGAACATGCAGCATCACTGCCTCTCACTGGCTCTGCTCCTGAAATATTTTCTTGATCCACCCTTCCCCACCCCCTGCCACAGGGTGGGCCTGCACTGCAGTTGGTCTGTTTTAACCATGTTAGGATGCACTTTTTTTTTGTTTAAACATTTTAATATTGTTGAAATCAGAAAGCATCTTAGAATTGCTGTCAGCCTGGAGCTGAGTTCTTCCAGAAAGAAATTACATTTCCTTCTATGTCACCTGGGGACACTACCCAACTAAGGCTATGTCTCACTCTCTTCTCTGCCTGAGGTTTTGAGCTGCACTGGATCTGGCTGCAAATCTTCAGGAGCACTGGCTTGTGGTTCAAATTCTTTTTCTTTTTTTTAAAGACGGAGTTTCACTTTTGTTGCCCAGGCTGGAGTGCAATAGCATGATCACGGCTCACTGCAACCTCCTGTGGGTTCAAGCGATTCTCCTGCCTCAGCCTCCCAAGTGGCTGAGATTACAGGCACCCATCACCACGCCTGGCTAATTTTTGTATTGTTACTAGAGACAGGGTTTCTCCATGTTGGTCAGGCTGGTCTCAAACTCCCGACCTCAGGTGATCCACCCACCTCTGCCTCTCAAAGTGCTTCGATTACAGGTGTGAGCCACCATGCCTGGCTAAATTCTTTAGTGAGGCTTTTTTCTCCCCCACTATATATTTGCTGCTCCTTTCTGCATGGTGGGTTCATGTCTTGCTTGCTTGCTGTTATAGTCAATGTGCCCCAGCTTTATGTGGGGCCTCCTATTAGACACCTTATTTTGGAAATTTAATTTTTTTTAGTGGTACATACAATAAAAATATATCATACAACTGATGGTGTTTTTAAATGAAATGCAATGTGCTGTTAGACAGTGGTGAACCGTCTCCCCTTCTCCATTTTTACCAAGGTGCTACCACTCACTGGCCCCAGGCCATGGCTTCTTACACCTAACATATTTGCACCAATGTCTTAGCTGAAAATTGAGTCCTGCGGCGCTCTCCTTCCTTCCAGGTTCATGTCTATTTCCTCGGTGCAGACTTTTGTATTCTTTCCAGCTAGTGTCTGGATTGCTGCCTCTCAACTTCTACACGTCTGAAATTGTACATCTTTTGTCCTCATACTTGAATGATAACGTAGCAAAATGTGGAATTCTTGGTTGACAGTTTTTTTTCCCCCCTTCAGTGCTTTGAAGCTATTTCTTTCCTGTTTCCAAACATCTTTTCTTGCTGATGAGAAGTCTGCTGTCACTAGAAGAACCATTATTTCTTCACAAATGATCTGCCTCTCGTCTTGGGTGACTTTGAAGGTTTCTTTTGATTTTTCAGTTTCCGAGGCTTTACCACAACACTCCACGTTTTGGATTTATTTTCATGTATTTTGCTTGATATTTTCAGCTTAAGGGCTCATGCTTCATCCTAGAAAATTCTCAGCTATGATCTCCTTAAATACTGCTTCTCTACTTTCTATTTCTGCCTTTGGAACTCTGTTTAGAAGTGTGTTGGTGCTGGGCACGGTGGCTCCCGCCTGTAATCCTAGCATTTTGGGAGGCTGAGGCAGGAGGATCACTTGAGCCCAGCAGTTCAAGATCAGCCTGGGCAACATAGCAAGACCCCATCTCTATTTAAAAAATAATTTAAAAAAGAAGTGTGTTGGAGCCTCTCATTCTGTGTAGAGCAGCTATTTTTCCTCTCCTTTGCACCCTATCAGGCAGTTTCTGGTGAACCTTCCCCACACCCAGGCCCCTAGTCCAGACACCATCTTAGATAACTGAGTTGGAGCTTGGTCTCATGGTTATATTGGGGATGTGGTGGAGCCAAACATTGAGTCAGAGGGCACTGTGGCCCTGGGCTTGGGTGAGGGCTCTCTTCTCCCTTCTGCTACCCTAGAAAGACAGATTTTTATACAAGTTGTAGCCCTGCATGGTGGCTAGAGCTTTGGCTTCCTGTAAAGGCCGCGAGAGTCTCATGCAGCCCCTTGCTTTGAGCAGTGAGTCTGGCTCTGGCCCTCTTTATACATGAAGCGACACTGCATCTTACAGACTTGGAGCCCAGGCCTGGGGCGGCGGCCTCCTGGAGGTGCTGCTGCAGCCCTCCTGCCTCTGTCTACATGGACGCTTATCTTATATTTGAGTGTGGCTCTGTCTTACAGTTTTTAAAGAGACACTGCATCTATTACTGCTATGCCTGTGGGGAGTGGTGGGTGGAGATTTAAAGTGTGGGCTCTTGTTCTTTCTGGACTAGAAGACCCCGTTACTTTTTTTCTTTTCTTTTCTTTTTTTTTTTTTGAGATAGAGTCTTGCTCTGTCGCCCAGGCTGGAGTGCAATGGCATGATCTTGGCTTACTGCAACCTCCATTTCCCAGGTTCAAGTGATTCTCCTGCCTCAGCCTCTGACTAGCTGGGATTACAGGCATGTGCCACCACGCCTGACAAATTTTTGTATTTTTAGTAGAGACAGGGTTTCACCATGTTGGTCAGGCTGGTCTCGAACTCCTGACCTCGTGATCCGCCTGCCTCAGCCTCCCAAAGTGCTGGGATTACAGGCATGAACCACCGTGTCCAGGCCCTACTTTTATAACAATCAAGTCTAATCTGGACAGCCCCCTGCTTAAACTTCCAAGTGCCCTCGTGTCCATGTAGGGTCAGGTCCAGACCCCTTTGCACAGCCCACAGACCCAGCCTCATCTTGACTGCTGTTTCTCTCCTCCCACGTGCTGACCCAAGACTCCCTGCTCATGCAAGACCGCGTCTCCTCACATGCAGTGGTCCTATTGCCCTCCATGTCCCACCCCCAAGGGCTCCCTTGGGGGTGGGACATGGAGGGCAATAGGACTCTCACTGCCGTCCTCCCACACTCCCCTACGCTGAGGTTGTGGCTCCTGCACCGTGGCCCAGTGATGCATCTGAGGGCAGCGGTGGGTTTTATTTTCCGCTGAAGCCCTGCAGCACTTGGCACTGACTGAGGGTACAAGGAGTGAACTGATTGGGAGTCGTGTGGGTGGGAACACTGATCTGAGGTTGGATCCACCTGTCAAAAACTTGCCCAATCGCCTGGACAAGAGATGTTCAAACAAAAACGTGTGCACAGATGTTCACTGCAGCTCTATCCACAATCATCAAAGGTGGAAACAGCCCAAATGTCCAACAGCAAATGAGTGGTTAAACAAAATGGAATATTATTCAGCCATGAAAAAGAATATAAGTACTGACTTTGTACTACTGTAATATAATATAAGCACTACTACAGTATGGATGAACTTTGAAAAAAATGTTAAATGAGAGAAGCCAGACAGAAAAGTCATATATTACATGATCCCCTTTATATGAAATGTCCAGAATAGGCAAATCCATAGATACAGAAAGTAGATTAGTGCTTGCCAGGGCCTGAGGCGGCACTGGGCAAGACTGCTTAATGGTTAGGGGGTTTGTTGGGAGAAAAGCTGAGTGTTGGGAGAAGCTGAGGCAGGGCTTGCATGTCTGACATAATGTGAAAGAGGCTTGGAACACGTCCAGGGTCCAGATTCTAAAACCCCCTGTGGCTGGAACACTGAGCTCTGTGCCAAAGGGCGGAAGGCTACCCCAACGCACCATAATCTGAGCCCAGGCATAAAACCCCTCGTGGCTTCGACAGAATCCAGGGCTCATGGCTCTAGAATGTGTCTAGACTTGCTGACTCCTTGTTCCTTGCTCTCCCAGGATCGATTGTATCTTGAGTTAAAAGAACCTGCTCTCCATTATCTCAAGTAGCAGAATATGTTCCAGATGCTTCAAAGGAAATGCTAAATTGTCATAGCTGTAGATCATGCGCTTGCCTTTCGACCCCCGCATCCTCACCACCTGTTTCTTTGTTTGATCACCAATAAATAGCCTGGGCTTCCAGAGCTCAGGGCCTTCGCAGCCTCCATACACTAGCGACAGCCCTTGGACCCACTTTCTGCCTCAAACTGTCTTTTCTCATTCCTTTGACTCCGCTGGACTTCATCAGCCCCACGACCTGGTGTTGGGTCCGATCACCCCAACAGGGTTTCTGTGTGAGGTGACATCAAAGCTCTGGACTAGGTAGTGGTGATGGCTGCACACACTGTAAAAATACTTAATGCTACTGAATTATACACTTTAAAATAGTTCCAGTGGCTGGGTGCGGTGGCTCATGTCTGTAATCCCAGCACTTTGGGAGGCCAAGGTGGGTGGATCACTTGAGGTTAGGACTTTGAGACCAGCCTGTCCAACATGGCAAAACCTCATCTCTACTAAAAATGCAAACGCTAGCCAGGCATGGTCGCATGCGCCTGTAATTCCAGCAACTTGGGAAGCTGAGGGACAAGAATCGTTTGAACTTGGGAGGCGGAGGTTGCAGTGAGCTGAGATGATGCCACTGCACTCTAGCCTGGGTGACAGAGTGAGACTCTTTCTCAAAAAAAAAAAAAAAAAAAAAAGAAAAAGAAAAAAACATAGTTCCAATTTTTGTTAAGTCCTATGGTATGTGTATTTTATCACACACACGCGAAGTTCACCCAATGGCTCTAGATCATTTTGGGGGATCTGATGCAAATTGACTTGAATTATTCAGACATATTGGAGTTCCCAGGACATCTGAAAGGATCCCCATAGGCCTGCTCAAATTCCCTGAGATGCTAAAATAGCTTTCTGATTAGTTATGGCATACTTTGTCTCATAAGCTGAACAGGCATCAGGCACGTGAGGCTGGAGACTCAGAGAGGAGGGTGAGGCCATGCTGGTGACAGGAGCCTAGTTCCACACTTACCTTCGGCGACTTCCAAAGGGCCTTGGGATTTGCGAAGCTCCTTTACCGTTTCCAAGAACTCTTTTCCCCCAGCCTTTTCCAAGGCTTTACCTGCAAAGGAGAGCAATGGGAAGCCACTGTGGTTGTTCTTTCAATCTAATTACACTGTTTGACATATTTGTAGTAGGCCAGGAAAAAAAAAATAGTACAGTTAGAAACTAGGAATTGAACTTCCCAATTGTTATCCTGGTTTGCCAGTGGTCAGGGGAGGCAGGGGTCTCGGGGCATCAGTGTAGCAGACTTAGATTGGCAAGCTTTTATCAAGGATCTTTTAAGGGGTGATTTGGCCATAAAGCGGTCTCATGGCCTGAGTCCTGTAGATGATTTAAAAACAAAACAACAACAAAAAACTGAGATTCTAGTGTTGTGTCCTACAGGTTTAGTACTCATGTGGAGAGCTCTGAAGTCCCGGTCCCATCACAGTGCCATCAACATACTGTAAGTGCTTGAGTCAAAGGACAGACACAGGCCCAGGGCAGCCAGGCATGTTGTTACCCCAACCCGGTGCTCAGTTTTCAATGGAGACACGTGGAGAGGCTAATCTCTAAGGACTTTCCTGCCAGGAGATGCCCTGAGCCTTTGATGTTAGGGGAATGCCCTACTCTTTGTTTTTTTTCCTACCTCAGCTCTTACTTCTACACAGGCCAAGTGGAACCCCATGGGAGATGACAGGCCTCCACCTCTGACCCCGCAGGAACCCCGTCTGTGTGCGTACCAGCCGCAGGAACCCCGTCTGTGTGCGTACCAGCCGCAGGGACCCCGTCTGTGTGCGTACCAGCCGCAGGGACCCCGTCTGTGTGCGTACCAGCCGCAGGGACCCCGTCTGTGTGTGTACCAGCGCATCCAGCTCTCATGTCTCTGAGACAGCATGGGTGTTTTTTCCAGGCTGGGAGGACGACGGCTTTGGCAGCAGAGTATTTTTCAGGTGTTTTCATCTTCGAATGAACTTGGTGATCTGGATGTCTGGGGCAAGTCTCAGCTCTCTCTTTATGAATCATCACTATTACTATGATTCAGTTCAGAGTCTTCCCCAGGGCCTGGGTGGTGATGCTTCCCCACTCCACACTCGAGCCTCAAGTATATGTGGAGAGCCATAGTACATTGTGCAGATCGTTTAGGACAAGTGTCTATTCCAGTGGTCACTGTCCACTGGGGAGGGCGTGCAGAGGGGATTTCTTCATTAATGTGCTTGGGTTTCCATGATGCAACTGAGAAATGGTGATTGTGCATCATACCCAGCGCCTCTGAGGCTCCTTTCTGGCCTCCCGATTCCTGAGCACTGTTGATCTATTGGGTCCAGAAGCCTGGAGAAGGCTGGGTAACCGAGGCTGGTAGCCAGTTCATGTTGAGAAGCAGAGGACTAGGTCTACACTGGTGCCCTCTGCATTCAGGTCAAGGGCCAAATGGGAATGTGCAGAAGGCAAGGGGAATCCACCCTCCTCACTGAAGACTTTTAAGAGAGAGGTATTTTTCTCTCTACAGAAGCATTCCCAAGAAGGAAAGGAGCAATGCTAGAATGAGAATACCACAGCTTTGCAACTCCTAACAAATGACGGAATCTAGAGAAGAGGCATCAGTGGCCCCAGCATCACACCAAGACAGCCAACCAGGCATGACACGCCTCCAGGCACGCGCGCTCGCCACTCACCAAGGAGTCTTGGCAAAGTTTTCGAACCTATACCTCATGAAACCTCTAGATCCAACCACCAAGTTATAAAAAAGCAAAGAAACATGTTTCATGATGCCAGGAGGATGTAATCCACAAAATCCGTACTGCATGAAACCCCATAGGACAAATGGCCCAGCTTCCTCAACAAACGAATTGCAAAGAAATAAGAAAGAAAGAGATGAAGGAGGAACCTAAGGTATAAGAGACTTATCAACCAACTGCAGTGCGTGGACTGATTTGGATCCAAAATCAAATAAACACATTTTCTTTCTTTCCTTTCTTCCTTTCTCTCCCTGTCCTTCTCTCCCTGCTTCCTTCTCTCCCTTCCCTTCCTTCCTTTCTCTCTCTCTCTGTCTCTCTCCCTCTCTCTCTTTCTCTTTTTCTTTCTCTGTCTTTCGAGACTGGGTCTCACTCTGTGTACTCTGTGGCTCAGACTGGAGTGTAGTGGCGTGATCACCGTTCACTGCAGCCTAGAACTCCTGGGCTTAACTGATCCTCCTGCCTCAGCCTCCCACCTTAGCTGGCAGCGCAGGCATGTGCCACCACGCCCAGCTAATTTTTGTATTTTTTTTGTAGAGATGGGGTTTCGCCATGTGCCCAGGTTGGTCTAGAACTTCTGAGCTCAAGTGGTCCGCCCACCTCAGCCTCCCAAAGTGCTGGGATTACAGGTATGAGCCACCATACTCAGGCCCCCCTTTTTTATAAGAGATGGGGATCCCACTATATTGTCCAGGCTGGTCTCAAATTCCTGGGCTCAAGCAATCCTCCTGCCTCAGCTTCCCAAGTAGCTGGGACTACAGGAGTGTGCCGCTGTGCCTGGCTTAAACAAATGTTTAAGAAACTTGACATTTATGATGTAACTGGAATTGGAACACTGGTAATTTGTTGATACTGCTATCTTTTTAAAGGTACAATAATGGTATTGTGGCTGTGTTGTTAGTAAACAGCCCTTATCTGTTAGAAGTCATTGTGAAATATTCACAGATAAAATGACTTCGGCAAGTATGTGGAGGGGGTAAGAGTTGAAACAAAGGTGGCCATGGGTGGTGATTACTGCATCTGATTGAGTAGGGTTTCATTATAATTTTCTGTTATTTTTGTTTATGCTTGACTTTTCCCATAATAACATAATGTTTTGAAAAGATTAAGGCAGGGCCTTGTCTGTTGGGATGATTAGTTTGGGTGACGGTGGTAGAGAATGGAATCATAATGGGAGGGACTCCTCCTAACATAGCAGCAACAAAACAACTGTCAATTACTAAGTGCCTAGGAGCCCAGCACTGTGCCAGGCCCCATCAGCCCTATGGGACAGGTACTATTGCTATCCTCCCTTACAGAGGAGGAAACAGAGGTTCAGGGAGGTTTAGAAGCCTGCCAAAGGTCACACAGCTAGGAAGCAATTCAGAAAAGCCGGGACAGTCCAGGCAGGCTGACCTGGAACCTGCCCTCTTAACCACTTGGCTGCCTTTAGCCCATTTCTCCTCACAAGACCCTGAAGAGGTTGGCCTTAGAATCCACTGCTGGAATCTGAGCGTGGATTTTTGCTCTCAGACCAGTGCTCTTTATACTCTGCCACCATGCCAATTAAAAAAAAGAAGCATATTGTTTTTCTTACATAAAAATTTCATTACTATAGAAATGTGTAAAGTATGAACACTGCAATGTGTTAGTGAGAGGCAGGACACCTATTTAAAAAGCTCCAGATGAAGGCCACTAGAGGGCGTCCTTCCATGGAGCGTGGAAGGAGACTTGTTTCTCTGTAATGCTGACTTTTCCCAGAGCTGTCCTGTCTCCTTTTCAGCACAGCAAATGGCCTCTGATGCCAGGAGGAAGCCCTGAGTGAGTCTAGCTGCCAGGGGCCCCCGGTGCTACCACCCAGGGCTGAACTACTAGCATCTACCTCAAATTGCCTCCCTCACAGGCAAGCCCTGTACCCTAGGGACAAAGCCCCTTCTTTGCTTACTTTACCCTTTCCATGGAGAATTTAAGGCAGTTCTGCTTGGCAAAAATGGATGGGACGGGGACTGTTAGCATGCTGTTATTTACAGCGCCCGTAACAGCTTACCCTCCCAAGCTCCTCCACCCTGGCTAGTAATAGCTCCCTCTGCCACTCGTGGGACAGGTGGCAAACCACAGGCAAAATAACTCAGTGCTCATAGCTTAATGGACAACCTAATTTTTTCTAGATGTCCATTTCCCTTTTATCAATAGCACTCTCAATATTTAAGCTTACGATATATGTAAACATGTACGACAATATTTACAGTAGCACTATTCACTATAGCCCAAACTGGAAACGACCCCAAATGTCATCAGTGGTGGGATAGATCAATAAACTGTCATATATTTATAGAGTGTGATACTATGAGCAAGGAAAATGAATGAATACAATCATAACAACATGGATAGATTTCACAATACTAAGTTGAGCAAAAGAGGACAAGATTTCATTTTTACAAAATTCAAGACAGATGAAACCCATCTCTGCTTTGAGAAGAAAGGACAGTGGTTACCCTCGGAGGACATACTGACTGGGAGTGGGACTGAGGGAGACTTCTTGGGTGCTGGTAAGGGTCTGCTTCAGGATCTTGGTGCTAGTTGCACAGTGGGGTTCACTTTGAGAAAAATTCATCAAGCTCTACGCTAACGATTTGCTTTTACACAATACCCCAATAAAAATTTCAAAAATATATGCAGAATTAAAAGTTAGCTTCTCTCTAGTGAAGCTGTTCAACTACACATAAAGACAGAGTTTGACATGGGACCCCAGCAATGGGATAGCCAGTTGGCAATGACCAGCTTCACAAGAACTTGCCTGAACAGTGGCCTATTCTACGGCACTTCTACTGAAGTCTCAGGACCTTACCTATATCTTCTTTGAGGTCAATTTCGGCTGTGGTTGGGTGGACAATGCCCTCCACTCTCATGGAGCCAATATGGCTGATGTCACTCTGGGTTAAGGACAGCTGCATTAGGAAGAAAAGGTGGAGAATGTGGAAAAGATAAAATCCTGTTGAAAAGTCCTCATATTTTACTTGCATTCATTAATTCTCTTTAATTATTCATACCCAGTGTCAACATAGGGGCTGCATAGAGAGTGACAACCTCCAGTTTCCCAGGTGTCTGGCTTGCAATAAGCTCTTTGAGCGCAGAAGATTTGCTCTCCACTCTGGGGCTGGCAGCATGCAACGAATCCATTTCCTCTTCCCTGGAACAGGAACAGGACCTCCCCTCTCCTTTCTTTCTTTCTCTTACAGCTCATGCCTTTGGTTCCCAACCCTGGCGGCCCTGGTTTTCACTGATGCATCCTCTGAGCAGCTCCTGCAAGGAAGCCCAGGGCTTGCTCTCTCTTTTCCCCTCAGCATCCTGCATTCTCCCTAGAGGAGCACAAAATTAGTGGGGCAGGGCTCTGAAGTCAGTAACCTTGCTGGAGAGAAGTAATGGGCTCTGGGATCCTGACCTGGGGGTGTCTGGCTCCCTTGCCCTTTGGAGACCACAGTCTTGGGGCTACCGTTGGGAAATGCTACCCTATGTGTTCACAGTAGAGTGGAATGGAGGGCATTCTCTATTGGCCCACGTGAGCGAGACCTTTATATTCCCTTAGCTACATGAGAGAAAGCTAATTGTCATGTAACAGTGAACAGGCCAGAGAGGGGACGTAAATTCCACCTCTTTGTTTCCCTGCTTTAATCAGTGATGAATTAGCAACCAGCCACACCGATGCTCTTCTTAGAACATGCTCTTCCCAATTCTTTGAATGGAGGCTTACTGTGTTGTCAGGATGGAAACATTCAGCTACCCGAGATATGATTAACTGACTCTTACCTTGGGTGTCTTATTTCAGCCCCAGTTGACTTGGTAGATAAATTGTCTGCTCAGTAAACTTTACACTTGTAGGAATGAATTATTTGCATGTCTGGCTGGGCTGCTGTTGTGTTGCTGAAGACTGTTCAAATGTATAGCCCTGTTTGTTTTCTTTCTAAAGCCTAGGAAGGCAGGCAGACTGAATTATTGGCAAATAATTCATTTCTAATACCAAGGATATTCGGGAAACATATATTTCTATTTTCTTTCTTTGATAAATTACATTGAACCATGTAAGATGGGCCTCTCAGAAGCTGTTTGAGAAAGTTAGCTATGGATTTTTTTTTGGCAGATGTAGAAATAACTGGGGTGTGCGGAATTCCCAGCAAAACCAGTAATGCCATCCTATCTACTGACCAGAAAGAGCCTCCATGCTTACCCGTCTGACCAATGTTAGCAATAACAATTCTCAGCAAAAAAGAACAATTCTCACTCTCACAATGCCGACACTGCCACAGCTCTTTAGTTTAAAAATGAATAATTCAAGACTGCAGTGAAAATCATTACTGGGGAGCAAGGGAGGCATCGTTTGTAAACAGTAGGTTATAAAAATACAGTAGTGTTTTAATATAGCACAATGCAATTCTCTTTGTTACCTTCTGTCCCAGAACAAGGCTCTTAGAAGACAGAATGGTGAATCCATCCCCTGGCCCGTCTTCAGAGGTGGAGTTTGAAGTTCCTTCTTTGTCGCTGTCCTTTGGTTTGGACTGTTGGTAAAAATCAGAAGGCCAGATGAGAACCAATCCAGAAAAAGCCTGAGGTGCCTTTATTAAGCTCTTCTCATGGCTGCCACCAAGTTGAATATGAAAGGAAGCAGTTAGGTGATGTGTTCTGCTGTTTCTTGAAGGAGGGAAGCAAAAGTCAGCAATATAAGAAAAGGGTACCCCAAAATAGGAAAACAGAAAGTGTGTTAAAGGGCTCACGTGTACCTACAGTCCTCACCTACCCCTGTGCACCAATGCATTGTCCTTGCTCATTTCAATGCCTGCAGCTCAGGACAACAAGCACTGGAGCCGGGTGGGGCCGTTGATAGCCCATTGCTTAGCCTTCTTTCTCCCCAGGATTTCTCGGGGCACAGAGGCAGTGTGGAATGAAACGCCCACAACTTCTACAGCAGGGCTGTCCAATAGAACTTTCTGTGATCATGGAAATCTTCTGTTTTGATCCTCAATGATGTTGCCGAGTGCTTGAAATGTGGCTGGTACAATCAAGGAGCTGAATTTTAAATTTGATTTAGTTTTCATTCAAATCTAAATAGCCTTGGCTGGGTGCTTTAGCTCACACTTACAATTCCAATGCTTTTGGAGGCTGAAGCAGGAGGGTCACTTGAGCCCAGGAGTTTGAGGCTACAGTGAGCTATGATCTCGCCACCGCATTCCTGTGCTCCAGCCTGGGTGACAGAGTGAGACCCTTGTCTCTTAAAAAAAAAAAAAAAGCTACATGTGACCAGTGGTCACTGTACTGGGTAACATAGGAAAACATTATTCTATCAGTGGCATCTCAGAGCTAAGCTACCTAGCATTATCAAGCTATGCCAAACACCTGAAATTCCACTGGTGAAACTGAAGGAACGCCTGCAGGAGACCAGAGGCTGTCTGGAAGGCAATACGGAGCTCTGCAGAGACCTACAACGCAGGTTCCTGGCTACCGTCTCTCACTTCAGATTTTGCTGGGGGTAGTAAAAGGGATCTGAAAACCATCCCTGCTTAGGGTTTGGAAACCTAGAGAAGACCCTGTTTGATGATTTCAGCTCTAACCTCAAAGGCCCTTTCTTCTTTTACCTGTACGTTCTTGTCATTTTCTTCCGGCACCAAGCTGCAAGAGTCCTTGGTCCTTCAGAGGTGCCTGCTACGCCGTCATTGTTCCATCTTTAAACTTGTGGTGTCTTAGTGTCTGTTTGGGTTGCTCTAACAAAATGCCATAGACTGGCTGGCTCACGAACATCAGAAACCTCTCTTTTTTTTTTTGTTTCCGAGACAGGGTCTTGCACTGTCACAAAGGCTCGTGTGCAGTGGCACCATCATGGCTCACTGCAGCCTCTAACTCCTGGGCTCAAGCCATCCTCCTGCCTTGGCCTCCCAAAATGTTGGGATTACAGGCATGAGCCACTGTGACTGGCCCAGAAACTTGTTTCTCATAGTTCTGGAGGCAGGAAGTCCTTGGAGCAGGCAGATTCCGTGTCTGGCAAGGGCTCACTTCCTGGTAGATGACGCTTTCTAGCTGTGTCCTCACATGGCAGAAGGGTCCCTCTGCCTTCCTCAGGCCTCTTTTATAAGAGGACTGTTCCCATTCATGAGGACTCCGCCCTCACGATCTAGTTACCTCTCAAAGGCCTCACCGAGTAATCCTATGCCCCTGGGGTTAGGTTTCAACATATGAATTGTGGGGGAACACAGACATTCAGACCATTGCAGTGGGAGTGCCTGGCTCAGGACAGGCAGCCTCGGCTCACCTTTTTGGACGTCCGTGGTTTGGCAGCCTTGGATTTCTTCCCCCCCTTCTTGCCTGACGTGGCCTTTCTGCCTCTTTTCTCTGGGGGCGGGGAGAGGATCGTTTCCGACTTGCCTTTGGTCCCTCGCTTTTTGGCCAGCAGTTCGGGGTGAATTCTGGGCAGGACGCCTCCACTGGCGATGGTCACTCCTTTTAGCAGCTGAAGAGAGAAACGCATGCACTCATGTAGCAAACAGTCAGCTAGTTCTCAATTTCATACAGTTCTTTTTTTTTTTTGAGATAGAATCTTACTCTATAACCCAGGCTAGAGTTCAGTGGCGAGATCTTGGCTCACTGCAGACTCCGCCTCCAGGTTCAAGCAATTCTCCTGCCTCAGCCTCCTGAGCAGCCGGGATTGGAGGCACCTGCCACCAC